AATTTATGTATAATACGAAGCGGTTAAGGATAGACAGCGTATGGTGAATAATATTAAAGCACTCTCAATTCAAATTGTATTTGAAAAAAAAAAAAAAAGGTAAAGAAACAAATGCAGAAGAAGAGGAAAAAGAATGGACTATTCGGATCTTGTTTGTCGATTTGGCGACATACCTGATTACCACACGACGATGTTGTTTCAACTTTCAACTCCGGTTGAACGATGATACAAGACTCTTGTGTACTATGCCAGGAGTTTGGTTCCTCGGTAATTGTCGTCAGAGAAGGCTCAGCGTGTAGCCTGGCATTATCAATTTTGTAAGATCTTCTGGGAGGCGTTGGCGGCTTTGATCTTCTGACGATTGGCGAGGCAGGTGGTGTCGGCGTTGAAATACGATCCGGATGATCGTTAGGTATTACTTCTGGAGATGGGCCAATCAAAGATAGCAGAATGGGGAAGAAGAAGAGCCCGTTCACCAGGCCGATGCCAATGAGACAGATCAGCACCAGGAAAAAGTATCGAACGATGAAGTCGAACTCGGAGAAGGCTAGCATCACGATTGCCAGCAAAGTTGTCACTGCTCCGTGTATTACAGGCGCGTACATGTGTTCCAAGGCCAAGCGAATCCTTCGATCCCTGCTTCCAATGCTTGTGACGAAGCTCTGTAATAGTATGACAACTACCGATAGAATACACCAAGGATAACAAATAAAAACATATTTCGCAAGAGTCTACGCGCTTTCTGAACGAAACTAGACTACTAAAAATCGGTATGGACTTTCCAGATAGCCCAATACAAAGCTCAAGAAATTCATAATGTTTATATTCCCTCGTTTCTACAACGTCAAGTCCAAAGAACACTCATCCGCATTACAACAGATCCTCCTCGTCAGCTTCTACACCTACCAGACAAATATGCACCGTGAAGTGCACCGCGATTCCAACGCTGACAACCAAGAGCACGGCTGGAACGGCGCTCAGCTTGATGTCGGAGAGGCCCATGATTCCAAGAAGTTGTAAGACAACAGCGACGAGAGAGGTGCCAACCAACAAAGCGGCCCACAAGTTTAACAGGAGTATACCGACAACCGTGACGCTGGCTGTCAGAGCAGCTACCAGAGCGATGCCCAGGCAGCTCCTCAAGTCCATGTACTGTTCCCAGAACAGGAACGGTATGCCGGATGGAAAGTTTGGCAGGCCACGTTCCTCGAACTTCCTGCACAGTTTCCTCACGCTGCCGATCAGCTCGGTGATCTCTTGCGTGTTGCCCAGCTTGTGCAAGTAGAACGGCATTTGCGCGTAGGTAAGAGGATTGCTTTTAGGGATCTTGAGCTCGTGATCGTTGGTATAGATCCATTGACGTGGCTCGGGCCTCAGGTTCGCTTGTGACGCGCCGTAAGCCAGCACGTCGTTCGACACCCATGCGCTCAAATAATTGTAAAACGCTCGAGGATTGATGATACCCTCGGAGTCCACCAGCCTGACCTGTGTGACCAGCGATTTATCTATGGGATTATCGACGTGGCCAGTTTGGACCAGCAACTTGTAAGCGAGGATTGCCTCGTCGCTGGCGTTTTTGTACCACCTCTCCTGCGTGATGCAGCCGTTGCTGTAGTCCTTATCGAACGCGACCTGTAGCCCCTTCAACCAGTCTCGGAACAAACTCAACCAAAACTCCGGCAGCCCGCCGTTGTCGTTCTTGATCACGTTCTTTATCCTCATGTACGCGTCGTGGTACTCGTACAGCAATTTCTGGTTGTTAGGGTACTCGAAATCACCGCCGGTGACGGCGTACATGTTGTAGAAGCCAAAGTGCTTGGACTGGGCGGCGAGGAAAGCGTGCTCGTTGGAGTTCTGGGGGACCAGATCGGTCAGCTCCAAGCCGTCGTTGACCTTGATGGCCTGCCAAACGCTTCCAGCTAGAACCGCGATCAGTATCATCATCCCGAATACCTTGGTTGCTGGCCTGGTGACGAAGGGAGCGTAATGCCTCGCGGCAAACCGAGTCAGAGAAAAGCTGAGACAGTCGTCCTGGCTGCATCCTGTGAGAGTGTCCTCCTCGGTGCAGTGCTTGTCCAGCTCCACGTCGACGTTTCCACCCACCCAGGACTCGTTCTGCGCGTTTTGCGACGTCAGGATCTGCGTGCACGTCTCGCGACGCTCGGGAGGAATCGCTCTGGTCACAGTTTGTTTCGCCGTGCCGTTGTTGGACCTGTTGGTGTACTTGTTCCTGCCGACGTTGGACGGTAAACAGCAACAGAATATGTCCGATCGACCCGAACGCCGTCTTCGAAGGTCCAGACTGACCATAGCTGGGAAGACGAGGAGCATCGCGGCTAGGTTGAACAGCAGCAACACACCGGCTTGCAAGCAGAACACTCGCAGGGCTGGGATGGGGATCAACGCCGCCGCGAAGAAGGCCGAGACGTTGCAGATACCTGCCAGGAGGACAGAGAGGCCTGTTCTCTTGAGGACTACCCCGGTTTGTTCGCCGCTAGGCACTTCGTTCACAGAGAGCTCGGCGTACGTGTGCGTCAGTAGGAACATATCGTGCACCCCGAGCCCCAGGGCCAAGAAGGGCACTATCTGAGTGGTAGCCGCGTTGAACGGGATTCCCAGAAGGGCGCAGAACCCCAAACCAGCTGCCACCGTTGCGCAGATCAACATCACGCCGGCTATACCCACGCCAGCTTGCGAACGCACCGGATCCTTCCATCGAAGAAGCACTGCGCCCGAGTACAGTAGCTGCAATAGAATATCACATTTACAGGACGAAGATAAAACGAAGATGAGAATTTAAATTACCTACGTGTTGTACTATACGCGAACATTTAATGAGAATATTGGCACACGGATGCAGACAGTAGGACAACAATTTTAATATTAAATTTCATTTCAGATCAAAATCATCAATAATATGATCCTATTGTCGGTGCCAACTACATTAACTCCCACTTTCAAGTGAATTGCTCGGTTCACTTAAAAACAGGATAATTGATGATTAGACTGCGGATCTTTACGCAAATTAAAATCTTTGTAAACGTACCTACACAAATTGAACCTAAATAGGAATTTATCTTATTCTGCAAATATTATAACACGAACTTTACTTTCAATCTTTTTAATACTCTTGCATATTGTTTCCATATTGTAGTTTCTTGTACATTCAAATTTCCTGTAAAGTGTTAATCAATATGCAACACTGCTCTCAGAACAAAGGTTCATTTTTCACGCCTGTTACGATCATTTTAATTTCTCAGCAATGTCGTCGAACGTTTACCAAGAAATTGTACTAACCATCAGCGCGCAACCAATGGCGATCTTCATGACGGACACCTCGCTGTACTTTCCGAGTATGTCGTTCATCGTCGTCGTGCTGAACGCGTACAAATTGTACGGCGCCGAGCCGTTCGCCTCCAGATACTTCTTCACTTGATTGCTGAATGCCCGTTGCCAGATCGCGAGCACCTGAGACGCCTTCTCCTGGGACCAGTCGATATGGTGTACCTTGTAGGTGTCAGCGAAGAAGTCGTAAAGCTCTCGTTCTCCCATTAGCTGAACAACGGTCTGGAGTGCAGCTGCGCGGGTCAAGTGACCGGTCTTATTGTGCTTAGCACCGCCAACGAGCAGCTCCTCGGGCCAATGCATATATTTCGCCGCGAAACCATAACAGCCGCCCGTTAATTCGGCTCCTATGTCCGGTACCTGGTGAAACAGAGATCGTACGATGTGAGTAAAAATATTCAAAATATTACATCACTCTGTATGCCTAGGATTGGTTGACTGACTGACATTGTTGTCGTTTGAGGATTATGGAATTTTTAGACGTTTGCAGCAGTAAATAGAAGGGGGTTCTGGAACCCTATTCGAGATTTGGAAGTTTCGGAAGTTATAAGTTCTATTTAGAAGCACCATAAGTTTGTGCAATTTGCGTTTATATTCTTCACGATGTGTTCTATGAACACGTACCGACTGACACGAATAAAGGTCTATTTACACATATCCGTATCCGTTCAGATCCGTATTTGTTCAGTTCCGTATCCGTTCAG